GTTGCCACCATTGAAGGGGTGACACCAAAATGACTGACAGTCATTTTGGTGTCACCCCCTATGAAAAGTCGGGCACTCGGTCATGGACCGAGAGCCCGACAGTGTCAGGAGAGAGGAGGGGACCCAGCGGCATACCTCATCCCGCCAGGTGAACGTCCCCTCCTCTCTCTGCCGGCGTTCATCCCCAAGATGGCCGCCAGCAGGCGTCAGTAAAACTACTGCGAGTGCGCGACGCTGCACCCGGGTGACACCCAGCCTGGGGACGCCCCTGGGAATTTGCAACCATTCCTGTGCATGTATCAAATGTGAAAAGTAGAAATCACCGATGTAATAAGAAGAGTAAGGTGAGACAGCCGAGGTTCAGATCTGAGCGATCCTGGGATTGCGCAATCATGCACAGTTGCACACAGCGATTGCTGCGCAGCCCCATTGAATTAAAACAAGACTCAGAAAGACTCTCCGTGTCTACAATGCGATCCATCTCCAAAGCCCATTCTGACAAAGTGGGTATTACAGAAGTACGCCAGTGTCGTGGGATAACACGTCTGGTATTGATTTCTTTTTTTTTATTCTAGTGTTTTAAATACATATTTACAAAACCCCGCCATGAATAAGACATGGAGCTGGCCTGTAATGTGACCCTCAGGCACTAGGCCTTGCTTGTGATGCTTCCCAGACAGAGGCAAAAGCTAACATTTGTATATTTTCTTTTAAGGTTGAATGTAATATTCCATATTATGGCCACTAAATGGAGCTGAGGAGCATAGAAATGAAGTCCAAGGCCGTGATATACACACTGGTGACATCCTGTCCCTAAAGACTCCCCTAAGAATATGGCCAACTCAGGGGCAAAGACTATCTGAACTCAGCAGCTGGTCCCTGCATTGGCACTTTCTGATATTTATTACTTTGTCTGTTTGCTGCAGGGTGCTCTTTTAAACCGCTGTAGGGGGAAGTTTCAGGGGATTTGCCCCTTTTTGGGAGCCTTATGCGGGTTAATATGCCCTTGCTGCTCCCTTATGGGGTTAATGATTTTAGTGCTGCAAATTTTTTTAAATGTGTTGGAGATACCCTGAGGGAACAGCGCTGAATCACTAAAATGTGTCACACGCACCTTGAATTTGTTACTGTATCACACCAATGTGTGCACATCACC